GACCCGGGGAGGCCAACAAGTTCGGGGCTGGCGTTGCCGCCATTCTATATGTATACACCTTCATCTACGGTTCAACTTGGTTGACTACATGGTAGGTTTATCTTTCGCCATACTTGTGAAATACTGCTAATGACTCTAATAGCTGGGTTTATCCAACGGAGGTATTCCCACTAGCAACAAGAAGCAAAGGCACCGCAATTGCCACGTTCGCCTTTTCAGTAGCTGGAGGTACCATCAATATGATTATTCCATATTTGATAAGTGCAATCGGCTTCTGGGTTTTTATCCTATTTGCCCTTATTAACCTTGTGATGTTGGTACCAATTTACCTTTTCTACATTGGTAAGCCTTCTGTACTATCACTCCGCTTCTTGGGATAATGATACTAATGTTATTTACAGAGACGGCAAATAGGCACTTGGAGGATCTAGATCTATTGTTTGCAAGCAAAAGCAGCTTCGTTTGGCGCGCAGAACAGGAGTTTGCTGACGCCAAACGTCCTCAAGGGGCTAGCCACGATGCAACCAATTGAATTCTCTAATATCTTAGTAATCTCTAAACTCAGCTTTTTAACTAGCATCATACTTAGATATAAAGAATATCCATCATGTTAGCATAATACAGCCTTTCATCAAGAGACTCCTATCTTCCACTGTTGGAAAACACGACTGTCGAAGCCTATTAACCCGCCCTTGTTATGGATGCATAAATAAAACCAAAAAGAACGGCCTAAAATCATGCATGAGTGCTTCTCGCCTAAAATGAAGCTCTATCCGGGAACGCAGTTTTCGCTGTTTCCAAGGCAAGGGCTTCTAAGAAGCGAGTGGCATCCTCATTGACAGGAGGAAGTAGGTTGCTTGCTGCGGTAAACTGGCATGTGGCTATAGTATGGATTCTCTTGGTCCTTAGTTTAGGTATTCTATATGCTAAGCATAGATAACCCACATTACCCGAAGAGGTCTAGACGTTCGATAGATAGCTTCAAGGAGTCGAAATATATTTATCAGGAATATATAACGTGGCAGACGTGTATATAATACATCGCACTGTATGGATAGCAAGGAAAATGCTAGTTCTTCCAAAGAAAGACGTGATTATAGATAGCTGGCAATACGTTGAAGACAAGAAAACCGGAAATAAGATACAAAATGAAAGGACAAGAATACACGACATTAGTCTACCGGATCCTCTTGCAGAATAGCTTCGAAGCTGAAAGGTGTGAATGGTATACCGTCACCAATGAAATGTTTGCTCATTGCTTCGACCCAGTGGAGACGGAGAGAGTGAAGCATAGCACTGGTTCCTTCCATCACACAGAGAATGGAGATGGTAAGCACGAACCAGAGATAGAACGTAATCACAGTCATGATCACTCGGAGGGTTGGCGAGGTTTGGAGGAAAGCGTTGCTGAGAGTCATGGTCCAAAGGACGGAGGAAAGCTGTTGATGGGCAAGAGAAAGAGCCCAGAGACGGAGGTAGGAGGCAGTGTGAGATACACAGTTAAGACAGAATTCTAATATTATCAGGTCAGCAGCTGCCTCACAATGTGGAAAGTACGGCCAAATTGGTAAACAGAAATGCGAGGGAAGTGCATACCAATAGTATGAATGACTTGATGAATCATCTCTTCTGAAAATTCGAACTCATGATGCTCTTCACCTTCACCAATATCTTCAGTCACCATTCCGATGCCTTCTTCTCCATCACCCATGCTGTCGCGCTGGCCAGAGATCAGGTTTTGATGTTCATCGTCATCATCTACAGCACTAGTGTGAGCAGCTTCATTTAAGCCCCTATAACCAAGGGCACGGGCACGGTTGTGTTCCCAGCGGAGATAAAGAGGCTTGAGAAGGAGGAGTATTGGGACTTGGATAAGAGCTACAAAGAGTAGAATCTTTTGAACAGTAGCCTGGCCAGGGTAGAGCTCATCATCAACACGGCCGGGCTGTAGGAACATAAAGATAAGCATGTTCAAAAGTCCAGGAGCTGGCAGACCGAGGCCATTCCAGTCAACAGACCACTTGTAAATGATGGTAAAGACAAGGTATCCAAAGATGGACTGAAAGAAAATCATTCCAGGAACAAAATTTCCCCATATCTCAATGGGTTTCTTGAAGTGGCGGGCATTGACAAAGGACTGGCAGAGGGAGTATGTCATCTGATAGTAACGTTAGAAACTTCGAAACAGCTTCAAGTAGGAAACAGCGACGACACTTACATGTGACCAACCGAGAATGATACTCAGTTTCATCTTGTAACTGTTGGTGAAGAGCAGGTTGTTGTCTGCACCGTGCCATCCCCAATCCAAGCCAAATGGATATCTGTAAGAGCCTTTGAGCTCAGCAAAAACAGTTTCATTTTCGGTAAAGTCCTCTGGCCAAGACCAGGCACTCTGGAAGAGGTCCATTGACTTGGAAAATATATCGTTGTAAATCAATCCAGTGTACATAGCAAAGATTCCCATCATTAACATGATATATCTGCCAGAGAATGCCATGGAACTCAGCTCATCAAGTTTGGTCTTTCCGAGCTTTCTCTCGAACAAAATTAGGGTGATAGCGAGCATCGTCATAAGCATGGCATGGCCGAAGTCACCAAACATAACGGCGAAGAAGAATGGGAAAGTGACGATAGTAGGGAGACCAGGGTTGACTTCTTGATACTTGGAGGTACCGTATGCATCGACGATAAGCTGGAACGACTGAGTAAACTTGTTGGTCTTCATGTAAGTGGGTGGCGTCTTGTTAGTACGGATCTGGTTGACAATGGTAGGAACCGAGAGGCCAGCACGGTCGTTGACGTCCTGGAGAGTTGACTTGATGAGGCCAAGCGAGTTTGTCGGGCACCATGCTTCCGCAATCAATGTCTTGCGGGCTTGATCGTAGGAGAACTTGTTGAGTGCGTGGTACACCGCCTTCTCCTTCTTAACGATAATCATCCAAGCAGCAAGAGAGCGAGCGATTTGTGTCAACTCAGCATCGAGTGCATTCTTGGTGTTGCGTAGAACGTTGCCAACGTCCGTCAAGCGAGTGTTGACATCATGGATCTGATCCCTTCGAAGTTCACTGTTTTCATCCACGGCATGCAAGTTGGCGCCTAGGGATTCTGAAATCTTTCTAATCTTAGCGATAATTTCCTTTCCGTGAGCGAAGATAACGAAGACGTTTTTATGGATTTCCTCGTTGGTGGCTGGGTCGACGATGGGATCTGGGATTTCAGATTGGTTCATGTAGAGATTGCCACGGAGAGTACGCCAGAGGATCCTCTCAAAGGCTCCAATACGATCCCGAGGGATAACACCAGCAACAAAACCAATATCCATGACAGAGAACGACGACTGGTGAGCATCACCATTCTGGCCTCTTGGTGGCTGCTGTTCAATATCTCTCAAGAGGGGAGCTTCATCGTTATCGAAGGACTGTCTAATTTCGTCGGTTTGTCCATGTGCCTATACTATTGATTAATATACCATAGCCATGAAGTAAAGAATCTGTAAATCAAGGTACATACCCGATCGAAGAATCCGCCTGCTTCTCTGAGCACCCAACGTCGCTCAATGAGCTCAACCTCACGCCTCTTCAAAGCTTCATAACTCTCATTCAGCGATGAAACACGCTGTTCAAGGCTCTCGCTTCGCTCAGCAAGCTCATCAATCTCGGAGGCCATGGGAGCAGCTAGATTGTTAGAGAACTCTTCAGATGGACGCATTTCGATGTCGGCCTTCTCCATCTGCGCCTGGAAGTATCCTAGCGAAAGTCCATTGTTAGAGACTTATACATATATGCTAACCACCATAAAGATCACACTTACGAAGCTGTCTTTCCACATTGTCCAATCGTCGAATCTCGTTGGTAAAGGTCTTTTGGAATGCGGTGGTCTCTTCGTTCAGCTATCCACGATCCACCCACGTCAGCATCACCATACCATCAAAATATACCAGAATAACAAGGGCTTTGCATCCTCACATCTCTGAACTGAACCTGCCCAAGCTCACCCAGAGCGCTGACGACTTCACGGCCGATTTCATTCGCGATATAGAGCTGGGTCAAGCTCATGTCCGCCGACCGGAAGAGGGTGTCCTGGGTCGGGCTCATCGTGACGGCCAGCAAGGGGCTCTACGCCCTGTCCAATAGCTTAGCCCAAGTTATTAAACGATGTTTCTAAACCGAAGCAAAGACAAAAGAGTGTAATGCAAGTCGAGGTGGATGGCTTCAAAACAACCCGGTTTGTCGCTGTTTGTGAGCTAAACGTTCTGCCTACCAGATCTGGATATCACGTGTATGATGACTACAAACTGACTAAGTTATGATTATATAATGCATTTAAAGTTAAACTTTAGAAATCAAATTATTGTTCGAAAAATACGAAAATCGCCTGTGATCGATTGGCAGCGCGAGGCCGGATGGCATGGAAGTCCTCCGTGCTGTGGTGTTAAATAAACATGGTGAGGGGTCGTGTGTATATATCCCCTCCTCAGCCCTGTCAAGGGCAGCAGGATCATTGAGAATCCTAGTTGTGCACACCGAAGGAAGATAAACGAGTATCTCACCATGTCTGTTCTCAGCGTCTCTGCCTCGGGAAGCCATGATTTCTCTAAATCGACTGTACCGAATATCACCCTAGTTGAAAATGTGGGAGTCAAGGGCGATGCACACTCTGGTGCACACGTACAGCATCTTTCTAGGCTTCATATCAATCCCCCACCACAGAACCTGCGTCAGGTCCATCTTATGCCCTATGAGGTGCTCAAAGCTGTCAATGTCAACCCCGGTCAGCTTGGTGAAAACATTACTACGGAGGGAATAGACCTTCTAGCTCTCAGCAAGGGGACAAAGCTCCGATTCATGGACCAGCAATCACAGACTGCAGATTGTCCGGTGGTTACAGTGACTGGGCTGAGAAATCCGTGTCCGCAAATTGACAAGTTCAGAAGTGGATTGAAGGAGCATTTCATTGTCCGAGACACTAACCGAACTATTATTGAACGAAAGGCTGGAATAATGGGAATCGTGGAGGCTGGCGGCGACATTCGACCTGGAATGACAATTGTCGTGGAGCAACCAGCGGTTTTTGAGCGGATGGAATGTGTTTAATTTGGCTGAAGGTACGATACACATATCTAGCATGGAGTACTAGGAGTTAATGCTTGTAATAACCTTTAGACCGTGTCATGCCGGTAGTCAAGCTGTGAGATATTTCCTCAAGCGGTTGACGAAATAGGAGATTATTTAACTGGATTATACTCAAGGTACTTTTTACTATATTGTAGCTTTGTATGGATATAGAACAGTTATTCATTGCTCAACATCACAATTCCATGACTCATAGACACCCAGATCCATGTGTAAAGCAATTAATACAAGGTTGAATCCCTTCTTTCCCACCTAGTAGAACAAGAAACACAATTGCAAGAGTGTTCCACCCTTGGCCTCTTTCGGCAGTAAGATTTTTACCTTAAGCAAAATAACTTTTCCACAAGACTCCAGCCAAATCTTCAATCTGGTCTGGTTTAAAGGACTAATAAGCAAAACGTATTAGTATCAAATCCAGAGGGTAAATCGAGTTTACATATAGACTTACTTTAACATCTATATGCCATGTATCCTGCCTAGTCTTTTTAAAGTCACTGATTATCGTTTTCACACTTTGTCCAACAACGCCAGGGTCTCCACCAGCCTTCGTACTAAGGGTTGTCAATGCATCAGGCATCCAGCTTGGTGGGGGGCTGGTGTATGGGAAAGCTTGAATCAGAGCTCCTACACCTAGAACAGCAGCATGGCGTGTGATGATAAGTTTGGTATGTTCCGGAGTAGGAGTATTTGCACCAGTAGATGTAGCGGAGGAGAATCCTGATGAGATTATTCTCCGCTTCTTGGGTAAGGGATGTTGAATAAGAGAAGTTGTGAACCGGTCAAGCAGCTTCATGACCATATCTTGCCGCAGAGCCACAGGTGAGCATCGGACCATGCCAGAGAGTGTTGCGGATGCCCCCGCCCTAACTTCATGCTGTGTGTCGGAAAGCATACTGGCAACACATTCAAAAAGGTTCTCACGATCTTTCTTGGATAACAAGAACAATCTCCTAAAGTATATTATTTGCATGTTGATCATGACACGGAGACGTTGATGCCATGACGGAGAGGTGCGGCCAATTCGGATAAGAGAATTGATGAAGTCGGTATCTTCACCACTGGGATGTGGAATGTTAGGAAGATGACGGAAGACGTGGTATGCTAGAGATTGCAGCTCGGGGTCTTCTTTAACGTCCATCATATGTAGAAGTTGCTCTGTGAACAAGTCGGGGAAAAATTGCACGAGCTGAGTGCATTCGTAAGAATACAATGTCGAATCAAGCCATAGCAAGACTGTCTTATAGCCAGATGTGTAGGAGGAGGGAGTTTGTTGGCCAGGCTGCCTCTGGTGCCGCCACTGTTCAATCCGATCAAAGACTTCAGTAATCGTAGCCGCGAACTCATCAGTCGGTTTATAGGCACGACTGCCGGTTGATGAAGTTTTCTTCTGGTGTTCGATCAACTGGTCAACGCTTGCATATGACTCGTGGTATCGTGTTCGGTATATACAAGCAAGCGTATTACCCATTGCTTCACGGACTCCCTTGTACGGATGGTCAAGATGAGCTAAAAAGTCCCTAAGAATGGGCTTTTCGAGTTGGAAATGCCAACCGGAATCCACGATGCATCGCTGGAGTAAGTTGATCTTCGAACTCTCCTTGAAGGCAGCATTGGAAGTCATATCCAGGCGGAAACTAGATAGCCAATCCACCAAAGGCCAGGAGCGGCGAGGGTCCCTACATTGCATAATCATTCGAAGGCAGCTGGACCAATAGTCAGAGTTTTCAGGAGTGAGTGCATCGGAAAATATCTTTTGGAAGAAACCAAAGGCGTATTCCCATATCTCTGTACGCTTCTGGACTTTGATATCAGTCGCTGAGCATACAAGACCAGCCAATATTTCGGCTGTGGCACGATGTTGATGCTTATCACTGCCATCTTCATAGACGATCTCTATTTCCTTCTTAATTTCCTGGAAGGTAACTGCAGTGAGTTCATCGCGCAGCAGAAGTTGGAATATGTATACGAGCAGTGAAGAAGTAGACATCCGGAACTTATCAGTAGAGGCATCTCTGGGCTCTTGTTTAAGATATGTGAAGTAGGTCGAAATCCACTCCCGGGTGAAGAGCTTTCCCATAAATTTGCGGATCTCCCATTCAAGTGAGTCAAAAACAATATCAGTTTCGACACTGGCTTTGTACGCCGGCATTGTCTTACTCCAAACTAAGAACCCAGGGTGGTCATGGTCGATATAATACTCCGCTTCGGGATTTGCGAAGCTTGCAAGGTAGGAAGCCGTCCAATTGGGGTTTTCAGGATTCGTCGGGACTTGTATTTTTGATGGGAGGCAATAATTCCCGAGGATATAGTCTCTGTAATTATGATGGCAAATGGCCCTGATTTCAATGATGGTGAAAAGTGCAGTCAACGACTGCGCATACATCCAACGCAGGCCTGGGTGAGAGTCCACGGAGCCTTTGATGATAAGCTCGATTAAGTTCTCACTGGCTATGTGATCAAAACGTAGCCCCAAGGTAAAGGCAATTGCAGATGTTCTAATTGTCTTCTTCCAGTGCGATGCTTTGGCCAACTCAACGAGTTCCTCTGCCATTTCAAGCTTTCTCTTCTCAACAGAATGCCACTTCTTCTCAAGGGATTTCCGTTTTGCTTCAATCTGGGACGCCATAATTTCATCAGTGGGGACAATCGCTCTGATGATATCCTGGTCAAGAATAGCCATTCTATTTGTCGTATGTCCGTACTCAACGATTTGGAAGAGTGAACCACTGCAGAGTTTTTGGATGGATGGTTTGTCGACAGCGGTGGTGTCAAGGAATGCCCGTATGAGAGCAGGAGTGTACTTCCAATGACGACCCACTGGTTTAGCCAAACTGCTATACATCAGGGAATAAATCGCGCCCTGAATACGGGGGATTTCATTGGCTTTCAGAGCCATCTGGTAGGCCTTGATCAGCGGACGAATCAGAAGAACTCGCGAGCCCCAGATAGAGCGAAGTGCTGATTCCGAAGCTGACTGGGCATTTCGTCTAATATCAGTGTAAATTGATACACTAGACTCAGCTAAGTCAAGAAGAAGGACTGTATCCAGCTTTGACCGTGGCCTAGGAGCTGCATTGTGACGGAGCCGTTGCAGATGATACACATATGCTCGGCGTACAAGTAACGGGCGAGGGTAATCCTTCCTTATGCCGCTCATTTTGTACGGGTGAATATCAGCACCGTATAATTTTGAAACACGGTCCAGCAGGTGAGCAGACCGCTCAATACCAACGTCGATAAACCAGCACCGATAAGCAGTGTACAGTGAGGAGAAGCATGCTACATCATCCTCTTGCTTATCAACCAAGAACCTGTGAACATTATGTAGAACATGGCCAATTCGTTCCCTAATTTCGTGAATGGCAGTATAGAGAGGGTCATCCTTTGTTAAAAGATAACCAGCTGGGTACTGATAAGAAGGACGGATAGCAGATTCCTCAGAAATGTCCAAAGAGGAGTCGACGTCATCAGTTGCCTCTTCATCTTTGGTGGACGTATTTTCATCTCGGGAAACGTATGCACCACCTTGGTCAGGAACCTCGCTTTCACGGCATTTTGAAGCTGCCCTGTTATCAAATAATGCCGATACTCCAGCTATAATTAGCCTGAGTAGTACGATATTCCTCGTCACTTCGTCTGACCAATCTTTGCCACTGCCGTCACGTTTGATGCTTGGTGTGTCACTAATCAGGGACGTCAAGGAAGACAATGCGGCTTCCACCTGAGATGTAAATAGTTCAACAGCGAACTCTATTTCTTCTCGTCGTGGAACATGCCAGTTGACGCTAAGTTTGCTTAGGTCTTGTCTCTGGCCCCATTGCTCAACCTGAATGCCTTTAGGGTATAGATGCGGTTCGTACATACTGTAGTCCACAATGGTAGTCATGGTAAGGTTCAGGAGAAGATGGTGAATGAAATTCGAAATATGAATGGTAGGGATACCCTTGCACTTTCGCTGCATGTACAGTGCGATGTCGAGGAGGTCTTGTTTATATTTCAAAATGGCTTCCCCGACATGGACTACACACATGCTCAGCATACTGATATTCCATACCAGGCCCCGATCGCGGGGCAAAACATCACTTCCTGTTGTTCTTGTAGATGCTGCACCATTTTCATCAATTTCGGTGCGGATATTTCGAATGAGTAAAGGAATGAAGCGCTTTAGTGCTTTTTCAGGGTTGACCTTGCACAGAGAATTGCAAATGAAAGCCATTGCATCTCGTGCTTGGTGAATGACCCGATCAGAAACAAAGTTTACGATTTTATTCAGAGCTATGTCATATAACTCTGGAGAAAGGGTAGATAGAAGAGGTAGAAAAGTGGCAGGCAAGGTGTTGAGGACGTTCTCTTCAGGGGAGCCACTGCGTACTCGCGCTGCATCAGGCAAGTTCTCTAGCAGTGTGAAAACACGGCCAAGGAACGAGATGAGAAACTCGCCAAATTCCGTGGTGGACGAACGTAATATCTTTTCTTCATCTTCATCAGAGAGCTCAGTGTCGTAGTTCATTTCAACAGAGGCACCTTGCTCTTCCATGCGTTCTAACTCTCCAGTAACCCATTCCACGGCAAGCATGTTCCCATTAACATCATCACAGCCCTTTGTGAGGTCTTCAAAGGGTATATTATAACACACAGACTGGATAAATGCAAGGGAATGCAGTGATTTGCCCAAATCATTTGCGTCAATTCCAGGTAAAGCCAAACCTAGCAAGGTGGTAATATGGCAGCGGAACCCTTTTGTCCGCACCATGATTCTTGACAAGACCTGCAAGGAACGGAGAGAGGACGCAGTTCTGTGGACCTCTACGAGGCCTTGCATAGATGGGTAGATTCGTTGCAAAGCTCCCGGTAGAATGAGGTTTGGCTCTAGATATGCCAAGGATTGAAGGGTCGAGAGAGAGAAGTTCATGGCCGTACCACTTTTAGCATAGATACCCATGAATATCACATCTCGCAGGCATAATACAAATCGGCGTTTAACTGCATCATTCAACCGTCTCTCTGGGGGAACTTCCATTTCTCCGTTTCGTTCCCGGTTCCAACGCATGACAAAGAAGTCTGCAAGGTAGTTAACCAGCTCTGAGAGGGTCCTTGTCCATGATCCTGAATTCGAAGGGTGGAAAAATGTTTCCACAGCTTGTATCAGGCCCTCTAGCCTGCTAAGTAGCGAGTCTTTAGACTCTGCACAGGCTGGAGAGAGAGACATGACAGTCCATCTGGCAATGTCATGAGTGACTGGATGGTTTCTTGAATCCCGATCAAGCATTATGGCCAATCCAGCAGACACGTCAACTACCTCGCTGTAGGAAGACGTTGCCTGCCCGACTGGAATTTCAAGCAGCCTCAGGATAGCAGTGAAAATAAGGGAAGTTTGTTCCTCGGTGAAAATTCCGAATTCAGAAAATGGAATATGTTTAGCAGGGAGAGAATCGCGAGCTAATCGAGATAGAATATCTAGGAAACTCATATCAAATGTCCTAGAGCGGTTTACCAGGGACCAAAGGTGGAAATATGTTGGAAGGTAGTGTTGTGGGAGTAAATCGAGCCTTTCTGGAGGCGCTGGTGCTGTGGACACGAACAAGTTCATGAGCCCTACTACAATAAAGGCTCCTTCGGTAAATGAGGTTGTGAAATAGGGGAGAAACTCTTGAAGCATGTTAGGAAGCTCAAGGGGGTCAAAATAGAACTGTGCAAAGGAACAAAGTTTTATCAAAGTTTTGATATTGCGTTTGTTGCTCATTGAGTGTACGAGTCCTGCCTCTGAAGGAAGCACGAACACTTTCAACTCTCTGTACAGCGGTTTCCAGTCAAGAATCAAGTCCTTGGTCGGCCGAAGGTAATGTTTTCTCCTTAAAAATCAAAATTTGTAAGCAGAGGTTGTATATAGTCGGACAGGTAGTGTTGGTACTTACTTGGTAAGCACCATGAACATGCTGGAAAAGCGTTCTGCAACAGCCGGTTCGATACCAGGAGCAAGGGCAAGTTCGTAGTAAAGCTTCACTAGCTTTGTCCGTTGTTCTCTTGTTGGATCGAACTTCAGAGATAGCCAACCTCGAAGCTCTCGAGTCCAGTGGACCGCCCCGGAGTTGAAGTCTCCAGACTCGATGGCCACGTAGAGATGCCTGAGGATCTCCTCAAAGTTATTCTGCCGTAACGTATCATCCTCTAGCTCATACGGGGAGTGTTCGAAGTATGGATATGTTCTTGGTCGGCTACGAGCCTTTTTGGAACGATCATCTTCTGGAACGGCGCCGTTAAGCTGTGCTGATTCTCCACCGGGAGACGTGGCCCGTGAGAACTCATTACCAACGACAGCCAAGCTAGCCGCCAACACGTCCGGGAATCGATCGGTATTCATCTTCCAAGGGCGTGTCTATCGAGCATGTAGAACGTCTTAGGGAGGGTATGGTGGTGAGGGTGCTAGACTGTAAAGCCGCGTCAGAAACCCAGGATCCATCAAAATAAGTCATTCTAGAGCTATAGGAGATTTCCAGGAAAGGGTTTATAACGGAATTCTTACTGACTTCCCTAACCGGGTTGCTCGATTATTCACGGTTTGGTAGCTTCAATTAAACTGCAGCCTCCGTGAGCATCTGGCGTGTGCTGCTTCTGGTGCCGAGTCAGGTACGGAGTAACTTGTTAGTTACGAAGGGTCGTGTGCAACTTGTTGGTGACAGCAAACCCAGCAGGCACAATGGTTATGGTTCGTCCACGGCAGCAGCGTCAAGCAGCAGATGCAGCCCGCAAAACGAAGCTATCGGCCTTAGGAGGTGCGAAGCTCATCCGCCTCACAATATCGACCTTGTGGCAATGTTTTGTAGTTCGTTAAAGCTCTAAAAGCCGCAGCGAAAACAACTTTTGGAAGCTTTTTTGTTGTTGGAGGCGCCAAGACAAGATGACATAATAACTAGTTACCTTACGCGGAGGAGGCTCAACAGATATCAAACTGAGGGAATAGGGGGATGTACGGAGTAGGTAGAGTAGAAAGAAGGGAGCAGAGGGAGGGAGAAGAAGAAGAAGAAGAAGTGAGTTATATGGACAGTCGGCCTGGCGAAGTGGCCAGGCAGAAGTATCTACGCCGCTACAAGAGGGATAACTAAGTAAAGGTTAGGTGGTTACATGGACTCCGTCTGGGGTTCGGAAAAAGCGTTCGTCAGCTCTGGTTGCCTGGCTGCTCAAGCTGGAGGAAGAAAGGAGGCAAAAAGACAGCCCTGGATAAGCGCATACATCACGATCACACGCATGATTACGTGAGAGCTGATCAAGGAAGGTGGCGTCAAAGAGGTTTTACTTCTATTCTCTGTCACCAGGTTCGATGCCAGGAACCAGTACCACAACGGGTAGCCTGATGATATCCGGTTCACAATCTGGATGTGATAGTGAGTCACTGCTAAAGTAGCGAGCACCACTTGAGGAAGAGCAAGCCTGGCCTGGTATCTCACACTGCAGCCGGCCGTATCGTCTTCCTTACTAGGGAGCATCGGCAGGAGGTTTGCCCATACTCGTAAACCTGAATAAACAAGTATAATTATCATAGGAGCTGCTATACAGAGAAGCGGAATATTCGAGAACGTCCAGTACCTGAAAAGGCCCACGTTCCTGAAGAAATAACGGTTAGCAGTCTAACTCCTCAATATGCACAAAGATGCACACCCACAGGATCAGGTTGAGCAAGGAGCAACTTACCAGTAATAGGATTGAACCCATGCATAGATACTTGGAAATAGACGATTGCACCATGGACGCGGGTTCTCAGCCAGGCAGAAGTCCTTATATGCAACATATTGCGGCCCAACAATACCTATCAAAATCAGGCTGCCACCAGCACATACCATAGCCAGACGCCGTATAATATGCCACGACGGGCCATGTGTAATTATCTGATGCAGTCCAGACACTGCATCGTAGACAAATAACAGGCCACTGAGCAAACCATTGCTTCGAGCCGTGGTGGCAGCGGCAAAACATGCGCCAGCAGCGAGGAACTTCAGGTCCCTCAGAAAACAACTGCCTTGACGCTCATCCTTGAGTGCCGTAATAAAGGCATAGTAACCCAAGAAATTGAGAAACGAAAATGCTGCTTCTCCGTTGGGTGCAGATATAAACGCACCAGCAGGAGTCACGACATGCAGTGTGGCTGCCAAAAATGGGATTACATTGTAATTCTCCCTGCTACTGTTAAATGTAGCTTGGGAGAGCTTGTAAAGCACTAAGACTGATAGATAATGGCAGAGATTCGAAAGAAGAACTCCAGTCACAGCAAGGTACTGCAGACTCCTTAACGATTCTATGTATCAATCAGTACCAACAGGCCCACGTTTTTTAAACATGTCCATAACTCCGACTTACCAGGAAGTAGGAATGACAGTAACTTTGTATACCCATATCCAAACGCCCATTCTTGCTCGAACAAGTACCCCCTCTGTGCGATCTTCAAGAAGTATATAGAGTCCCATCTCGCTAGCCGGAGACCAATGTGCGATATTAGCCATGCCATGCTGCCGGCTTCCGGATTACCGGGACCTTCTCCGTCGGACGAGAGAAGCAGAGCCGTTGACGTGTCGTATCCCGGCCCCGGGCTAGCGAGGACAATAAGCAATAAGACAGCCTTCCACAGGCAGAAGCATTTCGTCAAAGTGTAGATTGGCTGGTCAAGCATGCTAATGCGGTCGACGGCGCTCGCCATCTCCCGAGACGAAAGCATCGCAGTTTTCTATATTTGCATAGAAGGGCTAAGGACGATGCCTGTACTCGGTACCCAGCCAGATAATTTGGTTGATGCAACTGCCTGTGGATTATCGAGCAGACTGAGCCGTCGATGTTGGTTTTTTTTTTTTTTTTTTGATAGTTTGCTCGACGTAAACTGCAAGTCCCTGGGTTAATATTTGTATTTTACGGGTTCTGATTGGCCATTTTCTTATATCTTCGTTGACATTGGTTGGTTAAGTTCATATCGTCTTTTATTTATGTATTACTAGTGCGGCCACTAACTGGTCAAGAGTCTCCTCGCCTCTCTCTCGGCCACCACTCTCTCCCTTTCTATCAGGTCTTTTTCCCTTGTCTCTCTCTCCCTATCGAAAAATATTTTTACTCCGGTGATCAACGCCAGAGCCGTGGTCGCTAGGGCGGTCCATACTTGCGGCTAGATTGCCGCCATGATCTCGCGCTGGTGAGGTTCCGTTCTCTCTTGACAAAAGTATTGATCTCCTATTCTCTACTGACAGTGTTGAGGTCAGAGATAGATTCCGCCAGAGCCTGCCATTATGAGCTGAAGGAACGTCTAAGGCGCGTCTGCTTATTTGAACTCGATGTGAAGAGCTCTAAGATTGGAAGCAGTGCCTGGTTATTTATTTACTCCTGGCGAGGACGCAATCGATAGCCGACGGTCTGGCTCGGATAGTAGGAGGAAGAGAGAATAAGAGACTGAGATTGCTGGAGCGTCTACCTCGACGTAGTTACTGGAGAGAAGTGAAGGAAAAGACGGGACAAGACGGACGAGCAAAGACGGATTCCTCACTCCATATATATGGAGGCGCAACGGTTACTGCATACAGCTAGCACCACGAGTGTGGCTGTCTTATTGAGAGATAGTTACGGGGTACAGTTGAAAGAGCGGAATGTCTCAAGAAAGTAAAATCCGTCCTCTGCACAAGCTATGGGCCCGATTTGTGCAGTTAATTACGCCCGTATGCACGGAGAGCCTGCTATCCGGCTCTAACGGAGCTCCTTGCTGGAACCCACACTTTCGTTCGAGTGTACCGATGGGAGCAGAGCAGACGGGCGGATCCTGCGGCTACAGTGCGCACACCGTCTTTAAGACCCTGGCAGCCAGCAGTCTCGAGAGCGAGGATCCCCTGCGATGACGGTCAAGTCAACCACACTGCAACACGTAACTCCCATATACTTTGCTCTGCCTGCCGACGGACGTCCGCCTGCTCACACAGACCATCTTGTTTCGGGGATTCATGCGTTACCGCTAAGTCGTGTGCCCGATCCCCGATAAACTGTCTGTCGAACGGAGGATTTGGATCAAATGGCTCCGACAACCTTTGGCGAGTTCCTCGACCCAGTGATGCAGTGGAGCAGAAGAGAAAGTAATTGCAACGCCGAGAACATCTTGCTGTCCACCTATGAAAAGTTGCGAAATTTTGAGCGTTCGAGCTTCCAGTTCTAGGTCCTGCGAGGTTATGGAATCATTATTATCGAGTGGGTTGTGTGCTAACTTAACGGAGGGATTTTTCTCAGGCCAAAAAAGACTGCCGGACACCGGGTCTGCAGAAGTATGCATCCACCCAAGTCTAATATATACGTGAGTTATACTCCGTAACAGCAGCAGCAACAACGACAACAACGACACAACGACAATCCGTCATTCTCTTATGGAGTACTCCGTACAACTGGACGGAACGTCGCGTGTTGAGGGATCCGAACGGACAGTCCACATGGCCGCCAGCCTGCCCAGCCTGTTTTTCAGGATCAGCAGCGACCAAGACCCGAGGAACTCTCGTAGGGATGAGGCGGGGCCTTCATGATTGGCCTAAATGCTAAAAAAAAAAAGGGAGAGAACGAAATAAGAGTTTTTGCTTGGACAAAAAGCAAGCTTGGATCCGTGGTTAACGTGCAGAGACGGAGTACGGAGAGTCTCATGTCTCATCAGACCTCAGGCGAGAATCACGCAGTGCCACCAGACGAACTCAAAGAGGCCATATCTCGTATATCTTCTGCATAAGTTCCCAGTTATGAGGCTGATCGGAGCACGGCATTGTAGGAGATGTTGCAATCTGTCCAAGAGATGGAACAAAGTCGTTGGTTGACCCGGTGGATTCGAGGGATGGATGCACCGGGCCGGGAGGCCTGTAATGTATGTTTCAGCCTTTTTCTTATATAGAGACCTGTCCTTGGGTCAAAGGTGGGATCAATGCATCCCTCCTCTGCTCCCCTATTTCCATTTTTTTTAAAACATTGTTGCCTCCGTCTGACCCCCTCCCCTTTTTTCTGGAGGGGTGAACTGATCATCACGGACCAGGGGCCTCACTAATCACACAACTAAGTTATATAAGACCAAGACCTCGCCTGGTTTCGCCGTGGGGAGAAAGGGCGTTGTACAAAGACGGGTTCGCGACGGGTGCAAACCTCCGTTCCCATGTGGACATTCTGAAACAGGAACACCCTTTGATATATATAAGTGATTCTCCAGCTATTAAACGTGATAGCTTCGGAAGATAAGAGGCTGGATTGGTCTGCTTTGAATCATACGTTAGCAGAGTGTACATACACGACGTCGCTTGGAATATATATATGTGGAATATGAATATGGAGCAGTTGCTGTGACCAACAGAAAAATGCGATAGCAGGGAAACCAAGCCTGGAATATATCTCTTTCTCGAGCTCTACTCTGTGATCCGGGCGGATATCGGATCATCAAGCTTGTCGCTGCTGGCGGAGCGTTCGTTGGTTATGCGCAACGTCTTGCAAACAACAACACGCGATCTTATACCTTCCTAGGAAAAGAAGCCCAATGGGAATACTCACACGCAGAGCAAGAACGTCAGATACAGCCTGAACTTGGATCCTGGGTACCCCTAAACAGACGAGATAGTCGGACAAAGGCGCTGCAGAAGGATCTTATACTTCTCGCCGTCAAGATATGCAACTCAATCTAGGGATTACCGCTGATGCTGCGGCCGTGCACCGACACGAATACTCGGCCTCTCCAGAGACACAGCAAGGAGCTTCTTCTAATTTCTTTCCATCTGCAAGGTCGATTCTATCTCTCGGGTTTGCCTCCCTGACGAAGCAAGGGGGTTCCGCCCCGTCTTCTACCTCAAATTCCGAGGGCCTGACACCCATGGCCCAAAATACCAACACATACAGGAGCATCGTACCATCAGGATCTGTGATATTCCAAGAGCCCGCAGCCATGGAAGAAACCGTTGCGCACACAGAATCAGGCTCAGATAGCCCAGATGCATGTGGGGTCATAGATGGCTCTGTCGACGGCGCATCAAAAAAGCATGCCCATCGGTCTAGGACTATACTACGTTTCGCACATCCTCCACCAACTACTCGACATAAAAGACTACGCATTCGTCCCAGGCTACTAGTACAACTCCAACAAGTCTCAAACACTTCTCGTCCCATTTCCGTCCTTGATGTTGTCCCATCTTCGCTCTTCAAAGGGCGTGCTCAACGAAAAATATCTGGTCCCTTTGCAGCACGGGATCGAGCTTGCACATCCGACCTAATAGTACTACCAAGTGATACCTACGGGCCAGCTGGAGCTGGTGATGAGGAACAGCGCCCTGAGGGTGATTCAGCAAACGAGAACCGCGAACCCATTGCAACCATATCCCAAATTCGCAAGGATGATTCAAAATCCAAGCCAACCGCAGAAATCTGCCTTGTCGATGGCCTATCCTGGATATCGGAATCTCTACCTAATGGTAGCTATGAGTTTACTGCCATGGATGAACATGGAATTAAGAAATGCGTGCGCTGGGTTGTTCGTGGGAAGAGAAATCGCAGTGCCTCGATTCAAGGAGCCGGTCGACAGTCACCAGGCCCGGAGGGAGGGAAACGACTTACGTTCAGCATTATCGATCCGCAGACTCGTCGTCATCCGATTATAGGCTGGCTGTGTCGGACTGGAATCGAAGTACTTGATCAGGAGTCACTCTCATCTGTTTACGCTGACCGCAAAACTAACCAACGGCCGGAGTCCGCTCCAGCCGAAACTGCGACGAGACAGAGCCCGGTTGTAATCGACGATAAGATCCGACAGCTCATCACGATAACCGGGATCTGGGTAGCGTTTCAAGAAGGCTGGGTTGGGAATCCACTTGTCACAAGTAATATTGAATCTTCTTCCAGCAACGGCCTGAGCGTCAGTCAGCTCCCACCATCCTCAGTCGTGGCTGCAGAGCGCCCTCCAAACGCTGGCGTTGGAGAAACGCAGTCGGAGGACCTTCCTACTCGCAGCAATAGTAACCGCACTAATAACCGAACATCATTTACATCTCGCATCCGCCAAAAGGGCCGACGCGGAACAGCTCCCCATACTCGATCGTCTTCCATACAGAAACCGTCCCCTCGCCGAAGCTGTTCTGACGACGGCGTCAGTAAAGGCAGCAGTCCTTCTACACCAACACATACAAGGTCATGCAGCATGCTTTGCTCCGCAAACCAGGAATCTTCTCCTCAAAGCCACCCCCATCGACCCGTTTCAAACAATCCATGATCTGACCGACCTTGAAACACCCGACGAGATGAATGATCCTCTTCATTACAGCAGTCTTCGCTCCTCACAGGGACAGACACCCAGACATAACAGCAGGCAATCCAGCCCTGTCCGCGCGCCGCTTCTCCAGACGAGACCGGGCTTCACTCAGACCAATCACTACTTC